CCATACTTGTCAAGTGATGCAGCCTGATGATATAAAGAAAATCAAATGAACAAAACTACAGAAATGATCTAATAATAAATACAGGGTAGTCTCTAGGACCAAAATAAAATGAGATCGCGCAAACTTGGCAATGCCATCTTTTGTTCTTTGTGATAAAATTGGAAAGAACAGATTACACATTAGGAATAAGCAAAAATGTTCACTACATATAAAAAATATTTTTAAAAAAAGAAATTGCTTTATAAAATATGAATAATTTCATATATAGTATATAAAAGTAAAATGGCTTGGTATTATAAAAGATAAAGCGTGCTAATTACTATTGAACATAAAATCTAACTAATAAAATTTGTAGAAATAACATAAATATAAATAAATATTCATTTATAGTTATATAAACTTCTGTCTAAAATAAAATGGTATAGTAAATCAGTAAAAAAAAATAAAAACTTGCAAAAAAAAACAAATTGAGCACTCGAAGCAGCAATTCAACTACAAGAACAGAAAACCTGCATAAGATACTTTAAAAACGCTATAAAAAATTAAAACAGCTTAAGAAAAGCTTGAAAATTGTATCTATGATGTCATTCATTTACCAACAACAGATCTCATTTTTTTAGCAGTGTACAGTGCTCGGCCACACTTTGGGACAGATCCAGTTCTGACAGCAAATGGTACTGCCCTACCAGATGTTCAGAGGAATCCACTATTTTAGTGTCAATTATTGATAATTTTAGGAAAGCAGCATGAAAAATATATACAGTATAAGTTAGGCTGTGGAAGTGTTTAAATTTTTTTTATATCTTTCGGAAATGGCGTTCTTGTGTTTTTATATGCGTTTTTAACCCATTACAACACCCATCAACAAAAAAAAAAATTAGCCAAAAGTATTTAATTTTGCTCAAAAATTTACTTAATAAATAATGTCATTTATGTTGCCCATCTTCAATATAATTTAGATTGTTTGTAAAATAATATCTATATTCACGTGCATAACACCTCTGTAACAATTCTATCACTATAGCAGTAGAATCTGATGAGTTAACTTCCTTTAAATTGCAATAATCCATCTTCGATATAAGTTATAGCTATCAAAATAAAAAAAATTACTTTTCACGTATCTAAAAAACAGAAGCAAATAATTTTGAAATCGTTTTTTGAATGCTTTCCAAATTTTCCATGAATTTTTGGTCACCGAAATATAATTGAAAAAATGTAATTAATTAAGTTTAATTATTTGTAAAGTATGCAATAGATAACGTATCCAAAATGTGATACGAATATATAGTTAGTCAATTGAGTTCAAAAATATTTTTTTACATTAACATTATTAGAATACTTATAGTTTTCCTAAAAAAATAAAAAATTCATATCACACACATTTAGTTTTTCTATCAAACAAAATCTTTTCAGCAAAGTATTTACTCTAGAAGAAAATGATTAACTTCAAATATTTTACATACCAAAAGCATGTTTTATGTAAAATGTTTGTAAAGATTTTGAATTTAAGGAAGAAAATCAAGAATATTGCTTCAGAGGCAAGAGTAACAGTTGAAATGAAACAAATATTAAAATAGTTTAAAAAGTATACATACATACATACATACATATATACACATACACATACACATACACATACATATACATATACATATATATATATATACAGTCGGTCAAGTAAGAGCGTGGCCGGGTTAATTTATAAAAATAATTATTTTATGAAACTTTAATATTCATATATGCATTGTATACGTTAAAAGCAAGGATGCAATTTTGGTCAATATGTGTCCAGTCACCACCGGAGTCGACAATTGGCTGGCATCTCCAACGCCTGCTTTTTACTAATTTAACGGATTATTTTAATTTTAACGGAGTCCGACGGCTCGTATTTTAATTTAACGGCTCGACGAGGGCAGTACGTGCTCATATAGAACTTTCATCAGTGAAAATGACATTTTCAAAATCTCTAACAATATTTTCATGTGCTCAAGCGGAAAAGAAGCACATGTTTTTCAGTCGTCAGAGGCTTCCCAGTTGTGTTGCGCCATTTCAGACCATGAATACGAAGAAAGGTTCAGATAGTTTTGTAGATATTTTTGTAGATATTTCTAAACATTTTGCCATTAATTTTGCTCGTCCTTGCTGCAGTGTTAAAGCAGGATTCCGCAAATACCCATTTACTGTCCTTTTTTCTTCTTTTTTATTTGAATCACGTTCTGATAAATCATCGACTTTTTTAGCAACTTTATATAGGTGTATATAATTCTGTACAAATGCCTTCAACTTTCTCACATATTTAGCAGCAGCTGATTGCTACATTTGGGTACCTTTTAGGTGCATGCAAAAGGGCGCAGCCTCGTAGCGCGACGCGTAACTTGACACTCATGGCGTTTAACGTAATTTTTTCTCAAAAGATCAACTGCAACTAAACCTTTTTTGACAATGCATCAAGGACAAAGCTTCACTTTATTGGCTCACGAAAGAACTAGACCGAAATCTTTCATTAACTGTCGTTAAAGTCTGCCACGCTCTTACTTGACCGACTGTATATATATATATATATATATATATATATATATATATATATATATATATATATTAGAGATGGGCTTATCATATCCGAAGCCGGATCGGTTAGGATTTGAATCAACTTCAGAAAGAAGTTGTATCCGCTTAACAACTCCACGACTTTGACAACTTTGAAAACCAATACTCAACACAATTATGTTTTATAGTGTATTTGAAAATTGTTTACAAAAAGTTCAAACATTTGTGTTAATATTATTAAAAAAAAAAAAAAACTATTTTATGCAATCCAATATGCATACAAATCTCATATTGTATGCCAAAATTGAGACAATGAAAATATTTAAATATCAGGGTAATTCCTTTACTATAAAGGATCCACTGAGCAATCAGGCGACCAGACAATTTATGAATAAATAAATCTTAATGTAATAAAAATTTTAAAAATTACCAATATATGTATGTCGGATTGTAAAAATTATGGTTGACTAAAGTTAAAACGGAAAGCTTAATAATCAAAATCAATTTTAAAATTATTTTTGAAGAGAAAAAATAGATGAAAAATGACTCATTGCTTTTGAACAAATTATGTATTTGAGCTGTTCATACTTAAACACATTTTAGTTGTTCTGTATTTTTACAGTTATCCTTTTACTTCATGGAAAATACAAAATGATATTATTTTAGATCATTTTATACCTAGTAAGTCACAAAAATTGCCTGTAAGACAACAAGGCAACCACTTCATTCGACGCAAATCTTTGTATTGCTAGAAAAAAACAACCAAATGTCTGTACGTGTTAATAGATCTAAGACCATTTAGGGAAGCCGGATATGGCAAAATCTCTGATACAACTCCACTTGGATTCACTCCAAGTGAGGAGTTACATTCTCAGATAAAACTCACTCCAGAGTTACCCAACTCTATATATATATATATATATATATATATATATATATATATTTACATATATATATATATATATATATATATATATATTTACATATATAATATATATATATATATATATAATTTGTCATATATATATATGTCTAAATGTCATTTAGACGTTTTCAATTGTCTGTGCGTAATGTGCGTTGCTGTCTGTCCAACCCACATTATTGCAAATGTGATGTGACGTCAATAGATAAAACCCGTAGTATTGAGACAATACTGCCATAATACCGTTACAATAAAAAATGATATTTACCAAATGATAAAATCAATATATAAGAATTGATTTGTTTCATAAAAAAGAATCATTGACTGCATTTATCATATCAGCTTGCACACGGTATACTTAATTATTTATAAATAACTGGTACAGCCCATTTTGGTTGTAATTCACTATTGTAAATATTGATTTTTATTCGTAGTTTCAATGAATTTCAAAAATGCGTAATTTTTAGTGAAACATGAGCTAATTATGTTGCTCAATATCCACTCATGACATAAGTTCATTTGTCGAAATGTATAAAATAATAAAAAATCTCAATAAATCTATGTTTTTAGATAATGCAATGACTTTATATATATATATATATATATATATATATATATAAACATATATAGATGATACTCTAATTCTTAATTTATATTACTATCACTAAATATCAGATGAAAGTATTTCCTTTACTTAGTAACCCCGCATCATTCAACTTAGATTTCATGTTCATGAAATATGTATTTAGATAGATTTACATGTGACTAAATGTTTTTTATAATTAACTGAGGCAATAGTATATTACCCAAAAACTAAAACAATACAACCGCTTCCAATAAAAATTCACATTCAAAAAACATTTAGTTTCATAAAAAATGCATAATTACATTCAAATTATAATTAAAAACTTTGATTTAGATCACAGAAATATCACATTCGTTCTGAGCTAAAATCTGCATAGACATTATTGAATGAGCAAATAAAATAAATAACAAAAAAATTAAAATAATCAACAATGTAATATAAATTAAAAGCTCTCTATCTTCTGAGTAAATTGCATAAGTCATGTACATTGCTTTATTTTCTATCATCTATTTGAAATCGATTGTATTGTTTTATGGCCCAAATAGATCATGAAGATCATAAAAACAACATGTGAAAAACATTAATTTTCAAATTATTTTATGTGACTTTGCAAATGAGAAGTTAGTATGTTCTCTTTAATAGAGTAGAAAAATGCTGTTGGCTTTTGGCGAATTTTATATATTATTCAAGGAAATAATTACCAGTTTTTGCAAAACTATTTTAATTCATGCAAAAAGGTTTATTTGAAACATTAATTTATCTAATAAGATTGATAAGTTATTTATAGATAGTATCAGTCTGTCACATGCATATATATTCTAATGAAGTCATTCATTTCATTATCATTTAAGTATATGCAAAATTTCAAAATAAATGCGCACTATCCATAATAATGTGACAGCATTATCTTAAAGAATATGACCAATTCATTGCTCAACTGTCCCCCAAACAATTTACAAAGAATATTTTCATACTTAAGGAAAAAATAATTTTCGTCGAAGTATTAAAAGCCCTTTGTTGTTTGCTTACTAGCTGCAAAACCTTCGAATTTTCTTTGGTAATTGACAAAGTACTGCTAGTAAAAAGCAATGCTCAAGGGATAATTAATACGAAAATGAAATCAGTTAGATTCGCGTCGCGGACGTGATTTGAATCCGGCCAAGAGCGATTTTATGCTGTTGTGTCTAGGGTCAAGTGACGCCTTTCTCGAATTCTCTCCGAGCGAGACGTCCCCGCCCGACGATTGTTCGATATCATCCGTGGTCAATAGCAGTTCAGCATCTGGGTATATTTTATTCGATTCGCGGTAAACGACGCGATTGTCGGGGTCGGAAGTAACTTCGTTATATAATAATCGTGCCGTCGTCGGCCACTCACCACTGTCCCAGCGGTCCTCGTCGTTGCTCTCCTCACTGGATGATGCCTCCGAACTCTCGGATAGCACGTCCTGCGAACTCGCCGACAACAAATTGTTCATGTCGCGGCCCACATTCCAACTGCCCGATGTTCGACACACGCGCTGCATTCGCACAGTCACCTGATGATTTCAATATACTTTTGTTATATATAGTTTTTAAATTTATTTTTTGATGTTCGTTTATCAATTTTACTTTTTACTACTATGTATTACACTAATTGAAAATTCACAACCCACATCATAAACTTTCAAAATATAGTTATATCACCCTACATACACTTTTACAAATCTCACATAAGCTTTCTGTATAATACAGTAAAAGCTCCTTATTCTTAGGGCTATGTTCCATAAATATGCCGCAAATATAGAAACCGTAAATACAAAATCCAAGGTGACAAATCCTTTTTAATCATAGTATTTGGCCTATATTCATAATTCAGATAAGGCAATGGCTTGAAGAACTTCAGAAAATTCTATAGCTCAGCAGTTTTTCACAGCTTCTTCATTACAAACTGTCACATCAGCAACTTGTCTATTAAAAATAAGGCCTCGTCCCATGGAAGGATCAATCTTCACAGAGAAATCACACAGAACATTTGCCATTTTTGAATTTTTGTGAAGATTTTTTAAATTCAATGTCACAATTGCTTAATGCCTTCTTAATGTCAGTTTGAATCAAATTCTACTATAGAGTAAAACAGCAAAATTAAAAAATATACTTTAATCATTGAGTAATCAATAACATTTTCATTCTGTTGGTTTACATTCTCAAAAACCCCAATAGTGAAAAAGAGAGCGAAGGAAACAAAAACTTATACCAATGTTTTTTTTTTTTATTATTTCAAAATGATGGTATTTACAAATGATATTCTGCTGGATGTATATAAGAATCTGAGAATAACAAAATTTCTAAATGTGAAGATAAGAATTGAATCGCAATATTTTTGATCGTGAATAGCAAAAACGGGAATAAAGGAAGCGCGAATAAGGAGCTTCTATTGCACTTACAATAGAATACTACTTTTCAAAGTATTTTGTATTAGTTTAACAATAATGTATTTGAAGCAAGCCTACAAATTTCAATTATTTAATAAAACTTGACATATTGACAATCTTCAGTACTTAATTATTCCATATTGAACTAAATGAATTTGATTCATCACATATAGTTGAACTTTCGATGAGGAGCACAAATCTTGAATGTTCATATTGCATCTACAACAATTTAATTCAGAAAAAAAAAAATATATATATATATGTATATATAAAATTGTACACATTATGAATATAAGATGATATTTTTTAAAGGTTTATAACATTACTTCAAATGTTCAGATCAGCTACCAGATTCCAACGATGCTCGACATTATAATGATTATATCTTGAAATTATTAAATTTAATTCGCCTATAATAACAAAACACGATAAAAACATTAACAAAAAGTTCAATAAATAAAATTTAAAAAAATAAATAAGTTTTGGCTCAGTGTCTTTCTGTCACATAAATTTGAATAAATTCTTTGTAAGCTTATGTAATATGATAGATATTAAATAAAAATTAATCTATATATTATGTTAAAAAAAAAAAACATCTGACCTTAAAACAACAAATAAATATCAAGTTTGAATTTAGTAAGTATTAGTAAAATATGGCTTTGTAATTCAATTTAAATACTTAGTCCAGGGTATTTATTTAAGCAGTGTCAAATATAAATTATGTTTAATATTTTTTATTGTTGTTTCAAGGTAGATATATACACTGCACCTTTAATTATAATAAAAACCATTAAAACTTTAAGCATAGCAATTAGATACCTTACCTGAAAATCAGCACTATACAACTTGTGTTGCTTATCTTTGTGGGCATCATCTAGCTCAGACTTGTTGAGAGTCAGTTTGAATAAACCGCCAGTCGGTTGAATGATCTCATAATTAGCATTACTGTTAGTGGAGCCATTTCCAGTATGCAAAAGGTTTGGATAATAGTCATCTTGTGATAAATTTGTGTTTTCTCCTAATGTGTTGTAATCTTCCATGTCCGTGTCATATGTGCGTACAAAAAACGGATTAAACCAGAAATGAAAAAGCTTTTCCCTGAATATAAAAAAGTGCATTACTATTTTTTCAAACTGAAATGTGGGCAATTCATTTACCTTCGTCCCATTATAGTTTTTGTAAAAAATTCAAGTTTAATATCACCAGTTAGAGGTATACGTAAATTATCTAATTTAATTCGGATTGCGCCATCGGAACCTTCACTAATTACTACAGGCTTCTTGGGATCATTTAGCAATGAATTGTACATCTGTAAACAAAAATTAAGTTTAATTTTATACTCTAAAATTCTTGTTAGAAAACCCCATTAAAAAAATATTGATATATAATATATAAATAAAAAAAGTTTTACATTTATAAAACCAAATAAGAACAATGTTTCTATTTAAGTACGAAATAGTGAATCTATAGCCTTACATTGATCAGTACTTCAAAATTTTATATTTTTTTGATATAATATTTAATATAAAAACTAAAAACCTTTTTATTTGATTGTGAGATCGAAAAATGTAGATTTCCTTGTGCATTGCTGAGTACAGGAGCAGGTAGCAAAACAATATCCACTATGTGTACTGTCACTGGTTCATATTTCAAAGAGTCCCTTACTAACTGTGCATAATAATCTACATATCTACGTTGAGATGGTATAGTAACTCCTTTTCTGTCATGCGTTCTCATTTGACCATAGTGCGCAAGTGCATCTGCTGAAGCTGTAAACTTACCACTATGAATCATGTAACAACATACCATTGTACCTAAACAAAAAGCTATCGTCAGTGCCTCAAATAAATGTAAAAGTTAATATTAATTTGTTGCTGAATCAGATAATATTAATAACTAACAAATAGTAAATAGGAATATATAGAAATACAATAGTAAATAGTACTATAGTACCTGTCCTGCCTTTGCCTGCTTTACAATGTACTGCAGCAACATTCCGACAGTCTTTACTGAGCCACATATGAACGTCTGCACAAAATGGTTCAATCAATTCTATGTCAGGTGGATTGTGATCATCAAAAGCATATGTAGATACCCTCTAAAATATTATCAAAAGTATTTAGTCATATAATTAATAAATGTTAGTTAGTCATTCGAAATACACAATTGATTTTTCCTAACTAATTTTGTTACGTTTTATTATAAATAAATCCACATAGATGAAGTCAAATACAATTGCATTGAATTAAAATATCATACCTGCTGAAATTTATTGCAGTCATACGACCTCTCAGAACACAAATTATAAATTTTATAATGATCTCTGTGTTTCAACTCAAAAAATTTTACAACATCTTCTATATGGTTTCTATATACGCCTTCCAATTTTTCAGCAGGAAATCCCATTGCTATCAAATTGTGCTCAATATCTGCACTTGGATTTAAGGAACAAATAGTTCACTTTTGATCTTACAGCTCATTATACCTTTTTCAAAATATGCAACTACATTTGGGGAAAAAAAATCATTTTTTTCGACTAGCTATAATTAGGACATTAGGATATTTTTATGTCCTTTGGAAATTTGGTTTTTGACCAGTACAAAATGATTAAGAACTATTATTTACTGTATAATATTATTATGACATATTTAACTTCCCAAAGGAGAAGTTTATGTTTAATTTTTCAGTTTAATAGTTTAATTTTCAGAATACAATTTTAGGATTACATTTTAAGAAATTTAATAGAAAAACTGATTGTATATTAGAAAATATCATTATAATTTAATAAATAATTCTAAAAATTTGAATTACCTTGTAAATTTTGTTCATGTATGTTTCAAATTAAAAATACTGAGCAAAATAAAATATTTTTAGTTCAAAATAGATATTGACTAGATATATAGATATTCCTGCCAGATAAAGTTCAGCACATATTGGCTTTTTAAAATACTGGAGTCGCTAACAATACAATTTTCTCTATCGAAACAGTCAATTACCCATAATTTTATTATGGATTCGAAACAATTTTATACATATTGACTTTGAAAGGATACATGTCAGATCTAAATTGAATCCATCCTTTGTATACCTCCGCCTCCTCTTGCTGATGAGCCCTTTGATGGGGTTGGTCATTTTCATGTTAGAGATTGTGTTTGCCATTCTACATGTAGTATCAGCTTTATTGCAGCAATATTCAACCGAGTTGATATGGAGCTTTACGGCTACCTGACCATTGTGTTCTACATTAAAGCTATGTGATTTGTCTGAGTTGTTGGAGGAGTCTCTGAAGGCCACTACCGAGGCTCCCAAACCACTATCTTTACTAACGTGCTGATCGTCGGACAGAACACTGACTCTCTTTGCATTAGATGGGCTACAAGCATCATCGACATATATGCAAAGAGGCCTTTTAATTTCGCTGCACAAATGTTCCTGTTTGGTACTGTAAGTCAATACCGTGGCCTCGCGGCGGCAACTAAAGCATAAACCCATAAAGCAATCCCATTAATAACTTTTAAGCACTCGACAGGTTAAAAGATAAACTACATGACATTAAAAAAACCCATGCTACACAATGGTCAACTTTCTAACCTAGACGTACAATTACATAAATGAAATGCACGAAGCACTCGCCGAAAACATTTTCAATATCCACAACATTTTTACTTTGAAACCATTAAAACTATTAAACAATGACTAAATGAGACAAAGCTGTCACCCATTTAGACAATATTCGTCTCCACACTGATAGAAAAGTCGATACACATCAACTTTTAAATTTTTTGAGTATAAGCTCTGTTCACATTGCAAACAGTTTCTTTTTGGTACGCCATTGTATTGAAATAGTATGATTTAAATTTCAACTTATGAAACTATCTGAAACACGCTATCATAATTATCTAGCTTGCACAAATGGCGTCCACACTCAAAGCACGACATCAAAGATTTTCAAGTTTTTTATACATAACACTAGATGTAGCAGCCTCCAACATTTTTCTCAGTTATCATATATGTCAAATTCTGCGTTCTATTGCACCGATCGCACCTTTTAGTCAGCGACAGCGACTTACCTGCGCTCTGAAGTTCTTTCACGTGAAAGGTACTAATTTATCGAATACAGGCTCTAAATGGAAAACCTTATTTCAATTGGATAGATTCCGTAAGCCATTGCCGTAACAAACCAAAAGCACTTCTCATTTGCTTCTAAATATTATACATTTTTATAAAAACCAATTTTAAATTCAAATAGCAAACTAATTTTCCTTTCATATTATAGTTCAGCGAACAGCTGTAAGATGACACTACTAAATGTTTTGAGCCCATTCAGCAAAGATGGCTCTGCTCGTATTTCTTATCAGGTTTTTGTACGATAGATATTATCTAACCGATTTTTTGCAGGAAACGTCAGAACTTTTATTATCGATTAAATTAGAGTAAAAAATGACAAAATTAGCTTTATAGGAAAATTATAATTATTATATAATAACAAGATGACAAAAAATCCTACGTTTGCTTTATATATGCTCATATTAACTGACATAGGCCTGAAAGGTGAAAACTGATATTAATAAATATTATATATATTATTTCGATAATAGCTTTATATTGTTTGACATATCACATGTATAAAAATAAAAATAGCAAAGTTTTTATAAAATTAGATATTGGTAGATAATTTGGAAATAATAAATCTCTACGAGCGTAAAAATAAAAACAAAGATTTGAAAATTTGGATTTTTATGCTATTTCTCAGTTTTACTTATTTATTTATTAAAACCACAAATAAATCAACGAATATGATGTTGCATATCATTTAAATGTAGTTTTATTAAATTTCATATCTTAACAATAAGAATTTTAGTACCCTATATTTTGCTCGAGAAGAATTTAGATAATTGGTTTTATAATATAATAAGTTATTTCAAGAAAGTAATTAATAATTGATAATTAACAATAACTATCGAATTTTTAAAGGTACTTGTATACAATGCTATCAATGCAACTCGTTAACAGACGACGTCCGAGGTTGCAGTGTTTCGCCGCCAAATCTTGTTTACCTTAAGAACTGTTCTTTGGTCCACAAGCCAAGCAATGAAAGATTCAGGGAGGAAGAGATATGGTGCCGTAAAATCAGAAATTATAGAAGTATAATTATATATTGAATTTTAATATATTTGCGTTCCCATTTGATGATAACACAAGTCCAAAAAAAATAAAAGTTGTCTGTATTGGGTGTGCGGCATATGTTTCCCTATGTAGTTTTTACCACTGAACACGAATCTAAAGTCGAAATTGTTAGTCAAATTGCAAAAGTTTAAAACAAATTTAAAAAACTTAAAATAAACGACAAAATATCAAATCTAGTAATAATAATTAAAATCTTATAATTTCTGTAATTTCTTGACTCTTTATCTTAAATGACTATTGAAATTTAATTAAATGATTTATTAAGTTTTTCTTTGTATAATTCAGCAGCAATTTGCAAAAATTGCTTTACTCCCCATTGCACCTGGGTAATCTGCAACCATGTTTGTAATTTGAATATCTGAAATAGTGTTGGGCAAATTACTGATGTAATTTTACAAAAAACCATGGTGTATGGCATCGTGCCTCAAGGCAAATTGCTGGAACTTCCTATTATAAAAAGTAAATAAACAAAACTTGATCAAGCGGTGTTAGAATGAAGGATCTTATCTCATATTTCTAAGAATTATATAAATTGAATTGCAAAGTTAAAATTACTAGATCTGAGATTTTGCAATTTTTTTTAATTTATGTATGCTTTGCTTTACTCTATATAAATATATAGAAATGAAATTGAGAAATAATCATTTTTGTATGTTATTAGAAATCTATACATATGGATGAAGAAAGCAAAAGAATAACTATAAAAATATGTAACGAAGAATTTAAACTAGATCCCTGTAAATCAGTCAAGACCTTATGATACCAATAATACAAAATAAAATAGATGATAAATATAAAAGGGCGTCCATTAATCACGTGAGCCATTTCTAAGGATTTTTAAATCTTTCCTCCCCCTTGGTGATGATTTTTAAAATTCTGCCCCCTCCCTCACCTAGCATCTCGTGTATTTTTAGTACCTAGAAAAATCGTAATTAATTTTTTTTTAAATTATGTTTTATTTTTAAATTGAGGTTAGAAAAAAATACATGTGATATCTAACTAGACCCTCCCCTCCCTCACATGATACTTCGTGATATTTGTCCACCTTTAAAGCTCACGTGATTCATGGGCGCCGCCTAAAGATATGCAGAACACTTAATTTCTTACAATTAGACAATAATGCGGTTTTTAATATTAATTCCATAATATCTCATAATTTATCGGTAGTATATTCTGTGTTTAATTCCTATCTTGCAAATTATATTTTATTTCCAGTGCCAAGCAAGCCATGGCACAAACGTTCCGTAGTGCGCGAGTGCGCATACAAACATTGGGACGATGAAATTTGCTACAAGGGCACCTGGCAAATAATCTGCGAATGTAACGGAAGCGGATGCAATGGGGCCACCACCCAGGCGCCAATTAATACTTTTTCAATAATCGCACTTGCGTTAAGCCAATTGTTATGGACAACATCGATTTCTATTTAATTGACTTACATCAAGCTTATCATTAAATACTGTCATCCCAAATTAACTGTATGTTACAATCTTTGAATGTTACATTTAAATATAATAATTTATTACAAACAGTAATAAAATATTTATTACTAGCTGACCCGACAGACGTTGTCCTGTACCCATGCCTAAAAATTCAATTTTTTTAAAAACCTATACTGGTATTTACCGTTTAGTTAAAAATAATCATTAATGTTTTTAATAATATATAATAATTTTAATAAATATAATAATAATAATACTGGTATTTACCGTTTAGTTAAAAATAATCATTAATGTTTTTACACTACAATCTATACCAAAATGTATGTACAATTTCTACACTTAAATTTCAATTATACAGTAAAAACCAAATCTGCTACATCACAACATATAACATATATCAAACAGGCAAATATCGAAATATGATCATTAACATTGTATATAAAAATTTTTACACGATATTTTTTTAGAACGAATTTATTTTTAATATATCAATTAACGGAATATACAATATTCTTTGTCAGACCTGTAGGTGCATAAATAATTAAATTGTTTGTACTTCTAACTTTCGGCCACGACTGAAATTTTTTAAGTTAATTCCGCAAAATAACTGTAAATAATCAACTGTATATAGCCGATTAGCGTATAATAAATGAATAAATAAATAAATAAATAAATAAATAAATAAAATAAGTTCATTGTCTGCCCTTGTGACTTGGAGTCCCATCTAACAATTTATATGGTTTTTTTAGATAAATATCGAACAGTGTGGCTTATTGCTCAAACCCAACCGTACTTTGCATTTGAACAATTGAATATTCACACAAATTCCAAACTTCAGCCTAAACTGTAAAAGAAACGAAAACATTCTATTTGGATATAAGATGCAGAATAAAATTACGAATAAAATGATATATAAATCGTTAAGTGTGTTTATATAATTTTCTCGAGATTTTCTAGTTTTCCTTGAATTTTACCACTGCAACTCGCCTGTAGGCCACACCGTTAGGAAAAGAAATAAGAATTTTGAGACCTTTCTAACGATGTATAATACTTTGTTTTCTTTAGAGAAATATAGAATAGTGTGAACTGTGAACTATTGAATATTCATACAAATTGCTCTCTACAATCCAAACCGTAAAAGATACGAAAAAACTTTGTTCGGCCGAAAGATGCAGATTAAAATTACGAATAATATGATAATTGAAAAATGATATATGAAACGTTAAGTGATTCTACGTTTTAGTTAGAAAACGTTTGTATGTAAAAAAGAAAAGGGCTGATTTTAGGGTTTTCCGGCAACCATTCGATTTTTTCTCGCCGTAAGAACCATCCTTGGACATCAACGAACATTTTAAAAAAAGAATTGGCCAAATTGGTCCAGGCGTTGTTGAGTTATGCGCTTACCAACACATTTTGCGATCCATTTTCATATATAAGATAATTTAACATATTGAATTTAATTGTATATATAATTTATTTATTTTATTATCTGTATGAATACTAGTGTTACAAAATCTATTTCATAGAAATATTATAAACAATTTTATTTATATATTACATGAATATATTTATTCAAAATGATTATATTTATTTAAAATTATTAAAATTCAGTCAGTTATTGGTAGATGACCGGTAGTGTCATTATAATTCAGAGACTGAGAGAGATTGAGAATTGTGAAGATAATATTTTAATATATATATATCAAAATAATTTTTGTGTATTTTAAAACTAATATTTATTTATATAAATATATATAAGGGGTATTTATCCGTTGGTGATTTTTGCTCAAGTCTCCTGGAATGTGGTATCTCTAGCAGTGCTCTATTTTATTTGGATGGGCTTCTAGTATCTGAAAGTGGTGGACACTGAAGTTTCTTACTACTTCCTCTATATATAAAATATTTAGATCGTCATGTATGGTCTGAGGGGGCGTCCATTAATCACGCGAGCGAGTCTTTAGGAATTTTTGAACCCCCTCTCCCTTGGTGATACATGGTAATATTCAAAATTACCCCTTCTACCTCACCAAACATCACGTGTATTTTTAGTTACGTGATAAAACTGTAAAATATGATTTTTTTTGAATATGTTTGAATTTAAAAAAAAAAAAATCCGTTAAAAAATAAATACACGTGATATCTTACTATACTCCTCCCTCCCCCACGTAATATTTCGTGATTTTTTATCAAACCCTCCCGTCCCCTTAAAAACCTCACGTGATTAATGGACGCCCCCTTATTACTGATGAACCACGGGGCATCAGCTATCTGTCTGAGTATCTTAGATTGGGCACGCGGCATTAATGCTATATGCGACTTGCTGGCACATCCCCATAATTCTATACCGTAAGTCCATATAAGTTTTATCATTATAGAATAACGGTTGAACTCTTTTTTGTTGAATTAAATCGACGAATAACAAAATGAAATAAATCGATAAAATGCAATTATAACTGTTGAATCGATTTTTGACCCCCAAAAGTTATGGTTCAAATGAACAGGTTATGTTCAGTAATGTTCTCTGCAATTATAACTGTTGATTCGATTTTTGACCCCCAAAAGTGAGCCATTTCTAAGGATTTTTAAATCTTTCCTCCCCCTTGGTGATACGTGATGATTTTTAACTTTTAAATAAAACAATCCCTGTTATAATTTCACATTTTAGTATGGTTCAAATGAACAGGTTGTGTTCAGTAATGTTCTCCCGACGAAAAGTGGTAAGGTTTTCTCTCGTTTCAGCATTATTCTAGGCATGTTTTATTCAACTGCGTTTTTCGTAAAAGACGACGCATCAGCGCGTCATCGATAGGTCAATCCCAAGGACCATATACGCAGATGAATAATTCATACCATTGAACTTTTAAACAAAAAACATTGGCAACGAAACATGCCGCTGTTTTATTGATTAAAACAACACGTGTATAACCGATACTGTTCTAATTTTACTGCGTTTATTCAAATACTATCTAAATACTTCGGTAGACTATGAACTGGCGTACAAAATGTATCGTTAAATTTTAAATGCATTTGCTCAAATTTGAACATAAGTACTATCATAATATTATCAAATTTTAAAATCATTTAAATATTTTTGTAGATTCATTACCATACTTTTATAAATAATCCGTTGAATGTTCAAAAAAATCACTGACCTCATATACTGTTTGTATCAGTCGGCCTTCCAAAACGTGGTGCATGTTCAATATCAAAATTGGCGGGTTTTGTAAGCCAGTGCAGACTATACAGTTTTACTACAATATTTTTTCTTGTAAACAGAATTAATTGATCTTATTACAGTCAACCCTACCTATTATTTATCTCTCAAAGCTTTTGAAAGTGCGACTATTTTGAGTCGCACTTTCAAATGCTTTGAGAGACTACAAATTACCTCATGGAAATAAAAAAATCACTTCTTAAACGACCAAGTATTTCAATTTGTTATATTTTTACAATTTTTCTTAATATACAAATGCATTTTACTTATTATTTTAAGATATAGCATTATAATGTGGCGCATTTTTAAATGTAGTATTATAATATTAACTATATCTATATTATAAAAATAATTAATGTGAAATACTTTTCATACATATAATGTAAAACGAATAAAATATGTGTAGTGGTATAAAATTTTCATTACCAAAGTACTTTTATTCAAATTAATAATTTCCCCTTATAACATTCAATTCGATTTTTAATTCGTAGCGCTAATTGCCTTTTGAAGACAAATCCAACTATTTCAAGGTTACAGCGAAAATATTGCTAATATTTATCGAATTGGGGTCAAACATGAGTATATATATATATATATATATATATATATATATATATATTAGGGTGGTCCTTAATATGAACATTTTCAAGTTTCCTTGCTCCCAGAGGCTCAATTGCTTCCAAATTGATAAAAAAACCTCTATAAGTTTTAGCTCTTAATATTGTCTTATAGATAGTGCGCAATTCAATCAAAGTTTTGTATGGAAATAACATGGAAAATTTTAAAAAATTTTAAAAATGCTTTTGAGATATAACTCAATGAACTGAGTTTTATTCAAAATTCGACGCTCTACAAAACAAATTATAAAAAACCTGTTTTTTCGAAAATGTCCATATTAAGACCACCCTAATATATATATATATATATATATATATATAAACTTATCAAGTTTTCAATAATATAATTTTCAGAAATTTAATTTATAGAGATCCTAATATTATTGCGCCAAATTTTGAGTATTGTACCACAAAATAACATTTTCAAAGTGCTTCAAAAATTATATAGAGAAAATGCATACAATATAACATTAAATACCTATCTTTAAATAAAGATTGACTTTTGAAAAACATTTTAAGTAAAACAAGGGAACTTTATTAATTGATTTATTACTTTATTAACTTCCCGTAGGGTAAGTTATAGTAATCGCAAAAAATCGAAAATGAAAATTTTTATATATCTTTACGTTTCAACGGTTTCTGAACATTTTGTCATACCTTAGAAAAAATGGATGTATGTGTGTATGCGTGTGCGTGTGCGCGGATACAAATTTTCGTCGACAATTTCGGGAACACCGATCAACCGATTTGAATAATTCAAAAAACATTCGACTCGTATTAATAAGGAGACGTGCTGATTAGTTTTTGGCTGAGGTCTAGCCGTTCCGAAGATACGGGACAAAAAGTGCCAAAAATGTAAAATGGTTTTTAAGAGAACGGAGCGTCCGATTTTAATAATTCAAAAACATTTTACTTGTATTGACAAGATGAACAACTGATTAAATTTTCATGAAGGCGGGTCTACCGGTTTCGGAGATCTAGTAAATAAGTAAAAAAAAAAATGCCATTTGGGGGTCAAAAATTTTCATTAGACATATGCACATAAAATTATCAGATATTTTATAGAGATTTTAACAATAAGTATAAATTTTGTTTACATTCCTATGTGTTCCGTACCAATGTTTATCCGTTAGACGGCGACGCGGCGCTTACGCGCT